TGAAGGAAAACATCGGGTACCGCCAGCAGAGGGCGTACTCCAGTCCCCTAGGAGGCCTCCAGTCCCACCTAGGCTTCCAGACTCCCACGCTCGCTCCCGAGCGTGCCCCCGCCCGCCGCGTCACGTGACGCGGCCGCGGACCTCAAGCTGCCGGGCCTAAACCGAGCTAAAATCTTGCGGGTGGCCCCTGCGGGCACAACCAAAGGCGTGAAGGAGCTTTGTGGAGTCGATGCTTCCTCAACAACTTCAGGTCGGCCCCTGTTACCTTTTCATCATTCGCCGCTCTCGTCTCCCTGAGCATTTGTTTGAGCTCTTTCGTTTGGAGAAGCTACGGTGACCATGTAGGGGAAAAGAGTGAGGAAGCGCCCGGTGGCTGGGACGAGGTCAGCGCGTTGTCGGCACGCCGCTCCCACACCTACCACACCCTTGGTGCGGACCCAGCGGCCCGTTGGCCCCGGTGCAAACTCCGGCCTCCCGTTGTGGCCTGGTCCAGAGCGCCACGAAATCTCGCGCCGCCTCGCGAGAGTCTAAGTTGAAGGAACATGGCGACGTCTAATCTGTTAAAGGTAAGACTCACTCCAGCTTGGGTTTTACTCCGTGACTGCGGAGTTCAGCTTTTCGGAAGGGCTATATTCAGGTTCAGCGACGAGATGTGGGAGTGTTCAGGGGTTGTCCACCGGAAGGGAAGCGATTGCGGCTGGCACGGAGGAGCGAAAAGCGGGTCCCTGGCCTTGGGGTCGAGAGGCTCTGATTTTCCCTCCTGCCGGCCCAGCGTGTGAAAGGCCCGGCTGAATTCTAAGGTGGGGAGCCTCCGATGCTTTTAAGGGACCATCTCTGGCTGGAAGGAAAGGGTTGGATGGTCGAGCTGTGGCCTGACGGATTGGGCCATTGATTCTCTTGGGGTCCCAGTTTCTCCTGAAGCAAGAGTCTAAGATGCAGAAAAAAGAAAATCCAGGCAAATGCTGCTTAACAGGTTTCAGTGACTCCTATCTTCTCAATTCCTGTTCTCATTTGTCTGCACGAAATTCCAGGTTAGACCGAGCAGTGCCTCCCACCCCATCCCCTTCTCTCTCCTTTTTTCTGCACGATTCACTTTCCCTACCCCTCTGGTCCCCCTAATATTGAGTTCTTATTTTTCCCTTTTCTTCTCAGAGACTGCTCTCCCCTTCCCTACCCCGTCCCCATTACAGCAAACAGCCAGATGACAGCTGATGAAGTGCTACTATCGTTTTAGAGTTTAGAAAAGTTATCTTATCAAAGAAAATGTTTGAAGTTATCTCTCTATTTTGGGATAGCAGGGCAGATCAAGGTCCACAGAGGCAGATGCTGTACCATCAGTTTAAAAGGTTGGAAGAGAATGAGGAAGACATGTACCATTCCGCTCTGTTGCTGTGTTTATAGTTAGGAAACTTTTGCCATAAAAATATTGACTGAAAGCTCAGGGAACATAAAAACTGGATGAAGTATTTTACTCTAAGACCTATCATTGTGCCTTCAGGCAGTGTAAAGGGATAATTTGTTGTTGTTGTTATGTGCTTATGTGCCGTCGAGTCGGCCCCGACTCATAGCGACCCCTCCTTGGGTTTCCGAGGCAGTATCACTACGGAAGTAGGATTGCCCAACCTTCCTTCCGAGGAGTGGCTGGTGGGTTTGAACCGCCAGCCTTCTGGTTAGCAGTCAAGTGCTTTTAGCCACTATGCTACCAGAACTCCTAAAGGGATAATAGAAAATAGTATTAAAATATACTGAAACCTCATCATCATGTCTTTAGACCACTATATTAATTGCATAACAGAGGAAACTGTCTTACAAAATCAAAACCTAATTTTACTAACTTAAAAGGCAATATATTGTCTTTTAAACTAGCCTAGGGTTAGACTGCCTGCAAAATTTACAAACTGTATGGCTATGGGCAATTTCTTAAGGCTGGTTTACCTCCTCAGTAAAACTGGATTATCAATAGCTCCTATTTCATAGGAACATAGTGAAGATTAAATGAGTTAATGTATGTAAAATGCTTTAAACAATACTTGACACTTAATTAGTATACAATGCATATAAATTATTAGAATTATTTCTCCTGCTGTTTCTCTTAGAACTAATTTACAGGAATTGAGCAACCCATCCTACTCTACTTTCTTTTTATAACATACAATATAGCAAAGTTCTAGTGTATCAGTCCAGAAAGAATATATGTTAACTTCTGAAGATTATTGTTAATGCATCATCATGTTTACTAGCAATAGTGTATGTTACTGATGGAAATGTGTTTAAGAAAGAATTGGGTTCCTAATTCCTTGTGAAGTTGTTCACCTATTGATTACCTTAATATAAGGCAATGTACCTCTTCTCTCCCACCACACACACTGTGGAAAAAGAGTGAGTCACCTTACTTGACTCCATTAAACACTTTTTTAAAAGTATTGTGTGGAAGAGATATAAATCTGAAGCTACTTTTAAGTCAGGAGTTGTAAGTAGTTACATTGGAGAGATTATGAATGTAGATCTATAGGGTACAACTATAGAATGTATAGGAAATGAACATTTAGGGCTTAGGTTTAAAAAGATCATAAGGATACAAAAGTGCCATAAATCAAAAAACTTATAAATAAAAAGAAGTTGATATACTTTAAAGAAAACTGTTAAATGATTCAATCACTTTAGTGAACGTGAAGGCAGATGCTGGAGATACATTGGAAAACTTTCAATGAAATTGTTTTCTAAAATGTTGGCCAGGGGAAAAAAGCAGAATTTCTATATGAATATTATTTTATGTGCTTTGTGACTTAAAATTTATATAAATAACTTAATATAATAGACATTGTAAATTGTCATTTGATTCTTTTATCTGTATCTCCCAGAATTTATATACTCAAATTGGCCATAAAACTATTTTTCCTCTCTTCATGGAGATATGGGGAGATTGCCTTATATTCATGCATTAAAAAGTAGATAATCATCAGGTCATCTTATCTTCTTAGAGAAGTGTAGTGAGACCCTGCCAAAGTAGATCTATAGCATAATTCGTAGGAAACTTGTATTTCAAGCTGCTGATACACTGAATAGAGACAGCGCTGTGGTCAAATTAAAATTAGCCTCGTTTTCTTTTTTGATAGAATTAATAGATTGGTAGAATTCTCCAGAACCCTGGATTCAGTTCCTGGCCAATGTACCTAAGCGATATCCATCTATCAGTAGAGGCTTGTCTGTTGGTGTGATGCTGGACAGGTTTCAACAGAGCTTCTAGATAAGATGAACTAGGAAGGAAAAAGCCTGGCAATCTCCTTCAGAAAATCAGCCAGTGAAAACCCTATAGATCACAATGGTCTGATCCCATTGTACATGGGATTACCACAAATTGGGGACCAACTTGACTGCACGTACCAACAACATTAGAGAAATGCCTTAGACGTTGTGTAATTAGATTTCACCAGGGCATATTTGACAAAATCATTATATATTTCTGGTCAGACAGAGGAATGTAGGCTAGATGAGAATACAATTATAGAATTTCATTAATTAAAAACTGTACCTGAAGAATGACAAGTAATAAATCACCATCAGCCTGAAGAGAGGCCTTTAGTGTCCTGCTGAAAGAGTCCATCCTTATCCTGTTGGGTGAAATTTAGTTTATTTGAATTTGTGGATGACATAGTTCAGAGGGATAGCTAATATCTTGAAAGATAATACAATTAAGAACTTTTCTTGTGAAACAAGTCAGAACCCAATGCAATAAAAACCACCTACTTTTTTTTATATTGAAATACGACTTAATAGTGATGGTAATCTCTGTTTAAGGCAAGTAGGCTATTGCTAAATCTTGGAAATTTGGAGATATATAAAGATTTGTGTTGTGTATATTGAGATTTGTGTGCAATTATCAACTGCTTAGGGTATGTATAGTTAACAAAAACTTTGCATATTACTACTTTACTACCTTTGTTGTTTTCCTTAGCTCTTCAAGTAGATCTACAGAACTTTTGTTGTTGTTATTGTTGTTATGTGCTGTTCAGTTGACTCTGACTCATAGCATCCCTGTGTATGACATAATGAAACACTGCCTGAACATGCACCATCCTCACAGTTCTTGCCCATCATTGCAGCCACTCTTAGGCCATCTTGTTGAGGGTCTTTCCCTTTTTCACTGAACCTCTACTTTACCAAGCAAGCATGATATCCTTCTCCAAGGAATGGTCTCTAGTGATCACATGACCGAAGTAGGTGAGATGAAGTGTGGCCATTCTCGCTTCATTTATAGGAGTCTGATATGATAGTTTCATCTTTGGTTTTAGATTTTTTTTTTTTTTTTTAATTAGGATTTGGGTGAAGATTTACAGAGTAAATTCACTTTTCATACAGCAGTTCACATATACTTTGTCTCATGTCATTGACCAAAATTTCCAATGCAGCAGCTCCCCTCCCACTTCCTCCCCATAGTTACCTCCTCCCAGTGTCCATCCCTTCATACTCTTCGAGAGGCCCATTGTCTGCCAACCCTGTATATGATCTTGGATACACTCTCCATTTAGACATACATAATTGTTTAGCTTGTTCACCCATCTATCCGTCTCTATACCCATGTTTGCTTTCATTAACAACTCAGTATTGTATTTACAAAGGGGTTCATATTTGTTGTTTGTACTGCCCATGTAACTCTCTATCTCTTTCTCATCCTCAATGCTGCCATATTGGTCACTCACATTTGGTACATTGCCCTTCTCTTCACCCAAATCAATATTTATCTCTATCTATCTAACAGCATTCCCTCCCCTTCCCTCCCACCCCTGGTAACCAACAAAGAAAATGTCCTCCAATATATAAACCTTTCCTTAACTTTTACAATAATGGACTAATACAATATTTGTCCTTTTGTGACTGACTTATTTCGCTCAGCATAATGTCCTCCAAGTTCATCCACGTTATGCGGTGTTTTGCAGATTCTACATTATTCTTTAGCGTTGCATAGTATTCCATTGTGTGAATGTACCAAAGTTTGGTTATCCATTCCTCAGTTGTTGGACATCTAAGTTGTTTCCAAGTTTTGGCTATTGTAAATAGTGCTGCGATGAACATCGGCGTGCATATATCTGTTCTTGTTATGGCTCTCACTTCTTTAGGGTATATACCTAGTAATGGGATGGCTGGGTCAAATGGTATTTGTATTTCCAACTTTTGAAGGAATCGCCATACTGCTTTCCACAATGGTTGTACCATTTTACAGTCCCACCAGCAATGTATGAGAGTCCCAATCTCTCCACAACCTCGCCAGCATTTGTTATTTTCTGTCTTGTTGAACTTTGCTACTAGTGCTGGAGCAAGATGGTAGGTTTTAGATTATTTTTAACATATAATTTCGTTTGTTCCTTTATTTTTGCATTTCAGATTACCACTTGGGCTTTCATGCTCATTTTCTTTATTTCCAATTGGTTATCTTACTCAAAATAGCAGTTGTTCAAAACTTTTTGCTGAATTTCACTCCTCTTAATTCTTTGGATATTACTTTACCCAGCTGTTTGGAGTATCTTTAACTTCCTTGATGAATGCCAGAATTTTTCACTGGTTTCCT